ATATATATATATATGTATACAGCTTGTCAAGTGTAGAAAATAACCATTTCAATTAAAAATACGTTTCATCTTCTACCATCCTCTTTCCTAGATTGAACAAAGAGGTAAAATATGTATTGTCGCGAGTCTGAGCTCTGACATTTTATAGCGTGGAGACGTATCCTTGATAGATATATGGTAAACTTTTGTGGTAGCACTTGATGAGCTTTGGATTTAGAAAGTGTTTAGATTTTTATTGAAAATACTGTAATTGTGAAATTGTTCATTGTGCACTGCGCACTTTGAGGTAAGAACTGTATATTTATATTACTACAACCAGTTTAGTGATTATGGCTTGCTTCTATTTGCGCTACTAAATCGCTTACTTTTGAACAATTGATATTTTAAATATTTATTTTTATTATTATTTAGGCAATGTATGTTGAACCTCACCCACACCTCCCTATTATTTGCTCCGGTGGGTGTGATACTGATGTCAAGGTTTTTGCGCCCACTGCCCAGAGTCCTCCCGAAATGAAAGGTTTCAAGGAAGAGTTCATGAAGAATGAGGTTGAAAGAAACTCTGATTATGATTGTGAATTCCATTGGCTTAGGTATTATATCTAGAGCGAGAGGTAAGTCATTTGAATTTTTATTTTACCTTCCATTTGGATGTCGAAACTGTTTTACAAATGAATATAATCTATATTCCAATCCAACAGACCTTTCCTTTAGTGCTTGTACATTTTCTTAAGAAATTATTATTTGCATTTTAGAAGTGGGGCTTTGATTAGATGATAACTTACTTGATATATTGATTATGTGAGGTAATTCTACAATACAAATGGCTTCTCTTATATCTGAACTCAAATAGGTCTGATGACTGTGACTTGCAGTTGATTGATTTTTTGTACACGCATCGATCTTCATGAGCCGCACATTTCGCAATACTTCGTCCAATTAACAGCCTTAAAACCAGCCTACAGCGATCCCACGTAAAGGGCAAATTCATAATATTTTGCTTCGCGTCGAAGATACCGAAATAAGTTATTTGAAAAAGTTTCTTGGAAATCGATTTTGACCCTACATACCGAATTTCAATGCAAAATTCGAATTTTGTATTCAAGTACGATTATCAATTAATGGTTCTAACTTATTCAACGAAAGTAATTTTTTGTGGAGGAAACATTGTTTTTTTATCAACCTTTTTTGGGTAATTGTTACCTTCCACAATCTGAAAAAAATATAAAAATTATAATGGAGAACTTTATACAAGTGTAGAAGGGCAAACTTTTTAGTTTACCCCGATAAGTTACTGCATATCCCTTTAAGTATTTTTCACAAAGAAAAATCTTCTATTTATCAGTAACTTGTCGTATTTAACAATTTTGCCTATCAAAAAAAAT